GTCATGAACTGAACATGCTACTCAAAAAACAGATAATGGGTTTAATTAAAAAAATTATGTAACTGTTTTTCATCCAACTGAATTGAGCAAATGTAACACATTTACTTTAAAGTTGTGTGTAAACATGTTATCTTTACTCAGTTCATTTGAGTGCAACAGCTAACAAATTAACTAAATCCATTAGATTTGTTTTTAGAGTGCATGAGGTAACTGTTTAAACAGAACTCTGAACATTTTGTGTTTTTAATTAGAATGTCTGCACAGAGCTAAGTGAGTGTCCAGTGATTTGCCTGAACAAAAAGTTAAATTACAGCACAAGATCATAAATCCCCCAGCCCACACTTAAGTTTTATTCTGTGCCATCATGTTTAGCTCCTGTATGCTAAGAACAAAACACCTAAAATAAAGAAAATTTGTCTGAAATTTTGTCTGTATTTAACTTTTAGTGATTTTTTTAGAAAGGCTTTGAAGCCATGAGACCAAGGAGATAAAAGCTGATGAGTCCAGAGGAGTGAAGGTTTATTTCATCATCTGTTCCCACATCAACAGAAACAAATGTCAGCAAACAGCTTTTATCAAAACAACACAGCATGCAGGTTTCACTCACATCCTTAAACACACTGGTGAAGCAGCAACTCATGACCTAATGGGCTTTAAAATAGAAAAAAAAAAGCATATTTGATTCAACTTTTCACTTGTTTTCCAACAAACATTTAGTCCACCTCAAAATGTTTAGCTGGGTTGTAGTTTTTAAGAGATGAAAATACTGTTTGCCTTCTTTCTAATTACACAGGTTACACCGTCTCCCAGCAGAGGGCGCTGTTGCACTTCTGCTCTGATCAATAGATCTGTCAAACTCTGGAAACACTTGTGCTTTATTAGGGAATCAAAATGAAAATAATGAGGGCAAAACTTTTTATCTACTGCATGTTAACCCTTTTGCTGTTTATCTTAAGTTTGTCTTTTATTAACCTCCAATGGTTCCTATTGTTCTGTAAAACTGAAGAATGAACACCTTTATTCCTAATCTTAAATATAATGCATGCAAAATCCTGACCTTCTTTGTACATTGACTTCATTTTTACTTCTTTGGGATCACTGTTGCCAACATAATAAATAGATCCAACAATTGCTCATTCACTTAGATGAGTGATGAGTTGTAGCATAAAACCTGCTGCAAAATCATTCAGATAAAAACAAACAAAAAAAGTTAAAAATACAAAGATGTACTTTGTGCAAGACAATTTTCTCTCTTCATCCTTCTTTTTTAAATAAAGGCAGTATAAGATGGGAGCATACATGACTACAAAGATTAAAACAAACAAATATACTTCACGAAAAATAAAATATGTTTACCTTCCACTCTAACTTCAGCTTGGGTAAAAAATAAAATCAAAAACAGTCACAGGTCAATAAAATAAACAAAAACTGACATCTAGATTCCATAGTTTGCATATCAATAAAAATGGATCAATAATTACAGATGCAGCTCAACTTGGAGGGAATAATTTACACGAGTTATGTTTCTGTCAGCCAGCAGGGGGCAGCACAACATATGATAAATTGGACAATAATAATAATAATAATAATAATAATAATAATAATAATAATAATAATAAATTGTGTAGTACGAGCAGAAACTAGTTTCTTGTAAATGCAGAGATAAATTTGATGCCTTGTCTACAACATCCTGGTTTTCTTCTTTGTTCATACATTCAAACAAAACTGGTGAAACCTGTGCCGATAGATAAAAAGAACATTCATGTTGATGATGAATCAAAATGCAGACAAAGAACATTATTAATTTGGCAAAGGCCTGGTAAAATAAAAAAAAACTGTAACTATTTCTCCAAACAGGTTGTTAAAGGAAGCTTCCCAAGCCATCAACAGATGACTAGAAGACTAGAGGCCAGACAGGATGAGCCCCCCCTGGTGGCTGAATAAAAAGTCTGAATTCTGAGATTAAAGTCTGAATTATTTTATTATTCAGTGACCCTGATCGTCTGTTGTACTCAATACATCTCAGTGCAAATCAATTAAATTGCTGCGGGGGTGGGGGGGGTGTTTGCATTGCCCGATAATGGTAGGGGAAACACTGCATTCTATAGAAGAACAAGTATTATCTTGTATCTTTTAAATTCATTTTGTTGCATGGAATCTGAAATTTCAAATGCATAATTTATTAAAAATCTATTTTTATATTAAATTAAGTAAAAATGCTAAGTCAAATTT